GTTTTGTCTGTTTTAATTGTCTGATTTAGCATGTTAAATTTTATCATAAGTAAAAAATATAGGAAAAAAAAGTTAGCTAGTTTATAATAAATTAGGAAAATTAAGAGTGTAAAACACAGACAATTGTAAAAAAAAAAAAAAAAACAATAAGACAAGACAGTGCCACAAAACAATTTCATTCTGGCAACTACTGAATTAAAAAAAGCAGGAAAACAGTTCGACACACACAAAACTGTCTTCACTGCGTGGACTCAGATACATCTTTAAGTGCACGTATGATAGTTACTTAAACTTTCACAACTCTGGTTTATAAATAACACTTTAAAATCCTCAGGACAAAGGAGCAGATTCCTTTGGTGCCATAAAATCACCTGAGAACCCCCACGGGCAAACAGACAACTGAAAAGGAGCAGTTACAAATGACTGGGAATATGGACTTATAAAGAAAAAGTTTGTGGTGTTCAATTAAACACGTAGTTCAGTGCATATTGTATTCCGTATTTGATCTTTAAACTGCTTTGCAGATATTCAGGGATGAAAATGTCAGTCTTATAGGGTGATAAATACTGTAATTTAAAAGCAGGAGTACCTACAATTCCATCCACAAAAAAATAACATGTTTAAAAAAATCATGTCAGTAAACTCGTTTAACGATTCAAAAAAAACTGATTATCACTGGTTTGACAAGAGTTGTTGTTAAAACAGGCACGATTTCAAGAACCCCGACATAAATTGGGAAACTGACACGCAACACATTTTTTATATAAAGAACTTGAATGTGATATTAGTTCCGATATGTTGTGAAGCCCCTGACGCCAACCATGATCAAGAAGTAGAAGTATTTTGATTTGTTTACCCAAGAAAAACTGAGTGACGACAGATTATCTCAAAGAAAGCAACTAGAGACAGTATACCTCCACAGACTTCTCCGCACTTATTCCGCGAAAAACAAAAAAATTATCCCCGGTTACCACCGACTGTGAATGACCCGACTCGTGATGCGGTGTAAAAGGAACTGAACAAAGCCAGATCTCCAAACCCAATCGACAATCAGATCACAGCAAAATGCAATAATGCACAGAAAACAATTTCCAGTGTTGGTCCGCAGACCTGAACACCATGGTTAAGGAAATTACAGCTTTATCAGACAAATGAATGCACAGAGGGCAACTCGCATAGCCACATGCACAATAGAGAACCCCAGGAATAAACATACATGCCCTCATCACATGCTCAATATATTGGTATTTCATATACAAACTATAACAAATAAAATCACCAACTATTCACACAGAGAGAGGCGTTACAAAACAAACAAACAAGTTATAGAGTACAAAGTAAATGACCATTATCATAAAGACAACAGCAAATCAACATAAAAAGATTAACTTCCATCAGGCCTAACTACACGATACCTACTTGAATGAGATAAACTAGATGGGTGCGTAAGTCAGCGGACGATACCATTAACAACTATACCCACCTCACCAATCAAACACACGTAACAATCACACCCCCGCCCAAATCCATCAGTCCCAGAAAATATAGAGACGATTGGCTGATAAAACCCACTAATTCCTACATTGAAATAATAGTCACCCAAAACCACAGCAATTCAGCAATTCATCACCTTAATTCGAGTACTATAAAGTACACACCCGAGGCCATGCTGTAGCAAAAGGCGTCATAGGAGAGTTTCTTGTTCGAGCCATAAGAGATATAACAATGCGACAACCATGAATTAAGGAGGTAAAGGTTCATAAAGCTGACAATCAGATACTTGTATATCCATCAGCATTAAACATACAGAATCCAAAATTCATAGGACTAGAGTTCATTATAAGAGCTGGATGTCGACAGGGCCTATGGGCGATGATTAGAGGCAAACTTTGAGGGATTGCAGTTGTGATTTGGCAAAACATAATAAAAATATTGAAATAATTAACATAGAGCCAAAGAGAAAAAATTGAGACTCACAGGTCAGTAAGGATCTTAGGGTTTCTGAAAGATCTACAAAAGGATTATTTTGTTTTTATTCAGGTGTTATTTTTATACCAATCAAGTGGTAAGAAGACGCTGAAAAAAAAATACTTAAATACAATAAAAGAAACAAGAAAATCGCAATGTGTTCATAAAACTCAGTCAGAACTGGATATATGGGAGGGAACTATGACCAGGCGCTGTGATGTGAATGGGGCGAGGGCCAGAGCAGTGGGTGTTCTGGGTTCTGGTAGTTAATGGGCCGCTTACAGCTACTGGCGGAGGCAGCTCAGATAGCCTTATAATGTGACATTCGGAAAAGGGAGAAAATAGAACATCCATAGTTGTCGGAGTCATCAGATGTACAAAGGTGGGCCTGGTCGGACACCTGGTGCGGATTTACAGAACACACACCAGTAGGGTGGGGAAAAACGCCTAATTTTTAAACGAATTAACACTAGCGATTATTTAATCGATGTGCCTCCAAACACAAACGATAAAAATTTACCGCCAACGATTCAGCTTACTAATCAATTGATATCTCCCCATTAAATGACTAATATAGATGTATACAAGTTGATTAATATATTAATGAAAAAAAATGAAATCCTACAAAAAAATTATATTAGCATGCTCTTAAAATTCCAAAATAATCATTTTCGAGTCGATACCCTTAAATCTTGAAAACAACAGCTTACTCGAACAAAGGCATCTTATCATACTTGAAACAAACTTTGAAGCATAAGCATTCATAACAATAAGCCAACGATCCGCCCAATATAGTGCTAGGCAACTAAAGAAAAACAGTAACCCAGTAAAACTAGACGGCTTTAAGCTACAAAAGAGTATTTTCCAGCAAACAGTTGGGAGCCATCAGCTGTCATGGCGTTCTTCCTGAACCATCAGAGCTTAAACAACCATATAGTGAAGACACATAGTCCTATATTACTTACGTCCAAAAAATAAAGTGATCTCATAAATTCTTCATTCATAAAAAATAACAGACCCAACACTGCCACTCACTTTTTTCTTAAACAAAACATAACCAACAACAAAACAGAACGGGTGAACAAGAGAAAAAAATGCATTGTGTATAGCAAATAAAAAGGTTAACGTATCTATCTATTAGAGTAACTGAAATGAAAACAGTAGAAGTACAATCTCAGAGGGACTAACCCCAAGCGAACCCCCGATCGAGAATCAATAACAGTTTTAAACGGATTAAGGATAAAGAACACATGATGAAAAAAGTCCCTATACGGCGGGCATGCACAGTGCAAATACATGTAGGGGCAATTACGGGGCCAATATTCCGATAGAAACGACAGGACGCCCAGGTTGTAAGTCTGTACGCGAAGCCACATGACGGGTCACTAGCAACGGTCAAGCCGCTGCGGATTTCTATGAAAACATATAGCTTTTTGTTTCACAAGCGCAGTTGATGCTTAACTCAATAAACACAAAACTTTGACTACTTAAACACATGTGACAAAACGGGTCCATATCGAGTTGGAATTCGATATTATTTAACTTTTAAAGAACAGATGGACACTCTTAAGGAGTGTATCACAGCGTAACAGATGGCACTCGCTTGTACCGCTCACGCCCCTCTATTAAATAGATTAGAGCCGCACCGTAAATTTTGCGTCGACGTAATACGA